GGTAATTGGAAATTAGAGCATTGGCCTCTTATTTAAACAATATAGATGAATCAATGTAGGAGATTTGCAGTAGGAAATTTCTCCAATATTTAGTAATCAGAGATTTATAATACTTGAAAGCATGAGTTAATCCATTTGAAGAAAAAGGAGTATGTGTGTGTGTGTATATATATATATATGTATATATATATATGTATATATATATATATAAAATTCAGAATTCTAGGAAAATGTGTAGATAGTATTTAGGGAAAGCAACAAGCAATAGTAGGTTCCCTAGAGTTTGCAACACCAGGGAGCTATTACTACATCTAGCCTGAAAGGCAAAGTTTAAGGAAACCTATTTAGAACAGCCGTATGTGAGAGGGCCCTCTGAGAGGAGCTGCAAAATTTGCTAGAGCACTTGGTAACCCATAGAGAATTGACGGGGAAAGATCTGGGATGCTAACCGCCCTCCTTCATTCACCTCCCAGTCTCTAGGTCTCCTGCTGATCCTCCCCAGTGACTGAACCAGCTGTAAGCCAAAAGTCAAGGGCTACTCATGAAACAGTCCACAAAGGTCAGTCCTCTGAGGCAGGCAGTACAGTGGCAAAAGGTAAACAGTGCATTTGTTGGACAAAAATGAAAGACAAAATTGTTTGACAAAATTATCTGCATACACTTTCCTGTTTTGGTAGGGTAATTTTTACAACACAGACATAGTGACACACACAAAAACAATTATAATTGAGTACAATATATAGGTTACATAATTATATTTATAATATAAAACTTTCTAAGATAAAACTTCATATATTTGTAATACAAATCTGCTTACAGACTTTGCTATTTTGAGTAGTGCTGCAGTAAATGTGAGTGCAGGTATCTTTGTGATAGAATGATTTCTTTTCCTTTGAGTAGATGCCCAGTAGTGGGACTGCTGGATCAAATGGTAGTTTTATTTTTAGTTTTTGGAGACGTCTCCAATGTGTGTTAAGTCAATACACAAAGACACCAAGAATTGCAGCAGAGAAAGAGGTTTAATCACAAGGCAGCCAAACAAGGAGACTAGAGGAAACCTCACATCCACCTCCTCAAGGAGTTTAGGATCTAGGGATTTTAAGGGGTTTGGATGGTTAGTGGGCCAAGATATAGGGATCATTGATTGGTTGAAGAATGAAGGGTGAAGTCATGGGATGTGGAGATGAAGAAACTGCAGTCTTGCATTAAGTCAGTTCTGTGGGGGTCTTCAGACTGGTGAGCATCAGCTGTTCTGCTAGAATTCAGGATCTGACCAGGCATAGTGGCTAATGCCTGTTAATGGCAGCACTTTGAGAGGCCAAGGAAAGAGGATCTCTTGAAGCTGGGAGTTCCAGACCAGCCTGGGCAACAGAACAAGACTCTATTCCTACAGAAATAAAAATAAAGTTAGCTGCATGTGGTGGTAAGCACCTGTAGTCCCAGCTACTTGGGAGGATGAGATGGGAGGATCACTTGAGCCCAGGAGTTTAGAGTATGCAGTGAATTGTGATCATGCCACTGTACCCCATCCTGAGTGAAAGAGCAACACCTTGTCTCTAAAAATAATAATAATAAAATTTTTGGCCAGGCGTGGTGGCTCACGCCTGTAATCCCAACACTGGGAGGCTGAGGAGGGCAGACAACAAAGTCAGGAGATAAAGACCATCCTGGCCAACATGCTGAAACCTGTCTTTACGAAAAATACAAAAATTAGCTGGGCATGGTGGCACATGCCTGTAGTCCCAGCTACTCAGGAGGCTGAGGCAGGAGAATCATTTGAACCCAGGAGGTGGAGGTTGCAGTGAGACAAGATCGCGCAACTGCAGTCCAGCCTGGGCAACAGAGCGAGACTCTGTCTCAAAAATAATAATAATAAAATTGTTTAAAATGAATTCAGAATCTTGCCAGGTGTGGTGGTTCACTCCTGTAATCTCAGCACTTTGGGAAGCCGAGGAGGGCAGATCACAAGGTCAAGAGTTTGAGATCAGCCTGGCCAATATGGTGAAACCCCATCTCTACTAAAAATACACAATTAGCCTGGGGTCATGATGGGTGCCTGTAGTCTCAACTACTCAGGAGGCTGAGGCAGGAGAATTGCTTGAACCCAGGAGGCAGAGGTTGCAGTGAGCCGAGATTGCACCACTGCACTCCAACCTGGACAACAGAGCGAGACTCCATCTCAAAAAAAAAAAAAAAAAAAGAATCTGAAAAACATCTTGAACGGAAAGTTTTAGACTTCTAACACTAAAGATGCTATGTATAGGAATGGTGAGGAAGTTCATGGTCTGTTCTGGCCTACGTGACTTTCGGTTAGTAAGCAATTACAGCGAAGTGGGGTGGGCCAAAGTGTAGCCTGATTGATGCTTGACTGCCCTTCAGCCCAGAACCTGGCATGTTATTATGAGGGTGGTTTCAAGAAGATAGAATGAGAGAGGAAAAACTAAAATATAAGAAGAAAGCATCTGAGAGAATACAAAAGTGAGACTATTAAAAAGAATTTGGAAATGCTAATATAACAGCCTTAAGAGTGAGTACACAGCAGTTGTACCTTTATTTGCTGGTAAAAATATATGCATCAGGATATGATACAATGTGCAGAAAAGAACTAACAAAACAGACCTGAGACTGCTAATGTTAGAAGGCTGTTTGCAAAGTTGGCCATTGGCTGACATCTGGGAACTTGGCTGGTAAACAGGTACCTACACTGAAATAAAACTTCCCTTTGGTTGGGCACACTGGCTCATGCTTGTAATCTTACCACCTTGGGAGGCTGAGGCAGGAGGATCGCTTGAGTTCAGAAGTTCAAATCTATTCTAGACAACATAGCAAAACTCTGTCTCTACAAAAATATTTTCTAAATTAGCTAGGTGTGGGCCAGGTGTGGTGGCTCACGCCAGTAATCCCAGCACTTTGGTAGGCCAAGGTGGGCAAATCACGAGGTCAGGAGTTCAATACCAGCCTAACCAACATGGTGAAACCCTGACTCTACTAAAAATACAAAATTTGCCGGGCATGGTGGCACACATCTGAAATCCCAGCTACACAGGAGGCTGAGGCAGGAGAATTGCTTCAACTGGGGAGGCAGAGGTTGCAGTGAGCCGAGATTGTCCCCCTGCACTCCTGCCTGGGCAACAGACTGAAACTCCATCTCAACACACACACACACACACACACACACACACACACACACACACACACACACCTGTAGTAGTCCTGGCTACTATGAGGCTGAGGCAAGAGGATTGCTTGAGTCTGGGAATTTAAGGCTGCAGTGAGTTCTGATCAAACCCCTACACTCCAGTCTGGGTGACAGAGCAAGACCTTGCCTCTAAAAAAATAAAATACTTTCTCTAAATGATAAGGTGACTCACCGTGCCTACAGTGTGGACAGTATGGTTTATGCTGAACAACTGCTTTCCATCTGGGTATCTGGAATCATGGCACATGGTAGACAGGGAATGCCTATATGACCAGCTCCCAGTAAAAGCTTTGGTGACAGTCTCTAGTGATACCACGATAAATAACATATCACACATTGTCACACTTGTTGCTATAGGAAGTAAATATGTCTTGTGCAATTCCACTGGAAAGGAACTCTTGGAAACTTGTGCCTGCGGTCCTTTGGACTTTGCCTCATGTGCCTTTTTCCTTCGCTCATTTTGCCTTGTATCTTTTCATTGCAGTAAATCTTAACTATGATTATGACTGTATGCTAAGTCATGTGTGCCCTTCTGGGTAAATCATCAAAACTGAAGCTGGTCTTACGGAGCCCGAACACAGATATTGATTGTATCTGTGCTCTAGAGTTCTGTGTTCAACCTCAAGTTAGCATGAAAGAACCAAAGTGCGACTTCGTAATTGAATTCTAGATATTAGCTTCAGTCTTACTGCTGGCAAAAAGTACCTTGAAAGTCTCTGTCCTAGAGGTCTTTGGTAGATCTGTGTTGTCCTCTCCTGCTGCTGTGGTTCCCACTTGTGCTCAGGTGTCATTCTTTGTTCCTTGCTCTGCATTGTCTGTTCCCATGCCTAGACTACTAAACCTCAGAGTTTAATTGCATTTTAAAATCTATGTCCTGACCCAGGTCCACTGTGACCCTCAGCTTTCAGAACCCTGATCTTCACCATGCCCAGTCAATGCTATGGCCTCTATTAGCTTTTTCATCTAATTTCTCCCATCCTGAGGTTCCCTGAGTCTATGCCCTAACTTCAGTCCCAGGCTAACTTTATTACTACTGGCTACATAGACTGGTAAAGGGCTTAGGCTCCTAAATCTCAACTGCTTAAACCGAAAATGGATAATATAATCTTTCTTCTGTTTTCCTGATAAGGCACTTGTGAGGGTCAAATAAGATTTTATATGTGTAAGTACTTACCAACTATGGAGCACTACACAGTTATAAATTTCTCATATGATGATTATTATCATCATCTTCAAGCTATACTTACAGAGTCACACAAATTTGACTTTTCTAAAAAGTTATTACTAACCTTTCTCTGTGCCAACCACAAAAAAAATCAAGCACTGGAATTGTCATACAAGACTTTAAAGCAGCCATATAACCATCTTCCATAAGGTAAAGGTGAATGCTCTTGAAATGAATGGAAAATCAGAAATTCTCCAGAGGTGAAAAAGTCTCAAATAGAAATTTTAGAATTGAAAAATAAAAAAACTTAATTAACATAAAACTGAGTGATATGGTTTGGCTGTGTTCCCACCCAAATCTCAACTTGAATTCTATCTCCCAGAATTCCCATGTATTGTGGGAGGGACCCAGGGGAGGTAATTGAATCATGGGGGCTGGTCTGTCCCATGGTATTCTTGTGATACCAAGTAAGTCTCATGAGATCTGATGGGTTTATCAGGGGATTCCACTTTTGCTTCTTCTTCATTTTCTCTTGCTGCCACCATGTAAGAAGTGCCTTTCACCTCCCATCATGATTCTGAGCCCTCCCCAGCCATGTGGAACCATAAGTCCAATAAAACTTCTTTTTCTTCCCAGTCTCAGGTATGTCTTTATCGGTAGCGTGAGTACGGACCAATACACTGAGTCACTGGATTAGCTCAATAGCAGAATGGAGATGGCAGAGGAAGAAGCCGGAGAATTTAAAGGTAGGTCAACAGAAATTATCTGATCTGAAACACTGAGAAAAGAAGATTGGAAAGAAATTAAGCCAGGCACAGTGGCATGCCTGTAGTCCCAACTACTTGGAAGGTAGAGGTGGGAGGATCACTTGAGCCTAGAAAAATTCAGCACCAGCCTGGGCAGTGTCGCAAGATCCTGTCTCTATCTTTGAAAGAAAATGAGAGAGAGAGAGAGAGAAAGAGGAAGGCGGGAAAGAAGGAAGGAAAGAGGGAGGGAGGGAAGGAAGGAAGGAAAAAGAAAGAAGAAAAAGAAAAAAAAGAAAAGAGAAAAGCAGTGAACAGAGTTTTGAAAACTTTTTTCAAAGTCCAAATTGACCAGGCATGATGATAGCTCACACCCATAATCCCAGCACTTTATGATATCAAGGTGGGAAAATCACCTGAGCTCAGGAATTCAAGACCAGCCTGGGCAACATAGTGAGACCCTGTCTCTACAAAAATTAAAAAATAAAAAAAAAATTAGCCAAGCATGGTAGGGTGTACCTGTAGTCTCAGCTACTCGCTAGGCTAAGGTAGGAGGATCGCTTGAGCCCAGGAGCTCAAGGCTGAAATGAGCCTTGATGGCACCACTGTACTCCAGCCTGGGCAACAGAGAGAGACCCTGTAAATAAATAAATAAATGAAAAGTTCAACTTCTATGTAATTGGGATCTCAGAAGAAGAAAATGAGATTCGTGCACAAAAAATATATTTGGAAAAAAATGGCTAGAATGTTTCAAATTTAGTGAAAGACATAAAAGTTTACATATTCAAGAAGCTCAATGAACCCCAAATGGGTTCAAAGATAGACTAAAGAAAGAAAACCATACCTAAACATATCATAATTAAACCACCCAAACCAAAGGTAAAGGAAAATTACTGAAAGCAGCGGAAGGAAAACAGTATGTACAGGGGTATAATGATTGAAATGCAGACTTTTCCTTAGTAACCAGAGTGAAAAAAATGTTTTTTCAAGGGCTTAAAACTGAGCAAAGTTACCACTTTCTGTTGAAAAAAGAAGGGATTAATAAAAATAAAAATAGCTGCTTCACAATAGAAAACTTCTCATTTTTGTTCATGAAATCACCACCAATAGAAAAACATACAGAGTGGAAGAAAGCAGAATTGGACAGTGAGATGTCCAGATTTCACTGGACATGAGTCTCAGTGAAATCCACGGCCCAGCACATGGAGCTCTGAAGCTGGGACAACCTGCCAGAATTGCCCGGGATTGAGGCAATCAGGGAAGGCTTTATACCCCATGTCACTGATGCATCATTGGATGTGAACTGGGCTTTCTGCTAGCAACACTCCCTGCAACTGGAGGAACACATTCTTTAGTCTGGAAGTCCGATCCGGGTGCCCCGCAGTATGTACTATTTTTACATATTCTACTGGTAAATTATTTACCCTTCAGAGGGTAGGTACTGTCTGGATTTGCTCTCCTCTGTTATTAATGACATTTGAAAAAAAATAGTGAAATTGTTTTATTTGATCTCTCCAACCACATGTTGAGTTTCTCATGAGAAAGGATGCTGTATTCACCACCATCTATTTCTTCGGTCTCCGCTTTTCCAGCTGAACCCGAGAGCGAGCAAGCAACGCAGCTGGGGGCGTGACCAGCGTGAGATGAAAACTGCGCATACTCAGTAACTCAGCGCAATAGGAGGGGGCGAACCCCAGCGTCCTCGGTTCCCACAGTGACAGAGCCTCACTCTGGTCTTAACCACCAGCGTTTCCCTTCTTAGCTCCGGGCCCACCCAGGAAAGACAAAAATACACCTCCAGTCATCTGACCCCTTGCAGCGGAAGATGAAGGACTCCACTCCAAACACGGTGATCTTGGTAAACGCAGGAGTCGGGGGAGCGTGCAAGACCCTGACATTTTTCCGGCTTTCCCCGCCCCCAGACCTAGCCCAGCCAACTAGACCGCCATCAGCCAGCCTTCCCTTTAGAAGGGTAGTGTGCTCTGGTATAAGATTTGATAGGTGATTAAATATAAGGAAAACCAGTTTAACCACCTACGCTACCTTCAAGAACTATCCCCCACTAGCCAGCTTTAATATATAAATTGTCTGGAAAGTCATCACTTGGGGACTTGAAGGCCCATTAGTCTACAAGTCACCCAGGAGGGGTGTCCCCTTGTGAAGGGATGTGTATGTCCTAAGAGGGACACAGGGCTGGGAGGCAAGAGATCCAGGCTCTGGACTGGCCGTTATCCAGCTTTGTGATCCGAAACTCTTTGAAGAGTGGTTTTTGGAATATGATGGAGCTGTGGGCTTCTCTAGCCTCTGGGTCTCGGCCTTGTACGACTGCATTTCGTTATCAATTCACCCCTGGCAGCTGCTCGGCAGAACTGGCCATTCACACCAGGAAACTGAAGGAAGGATGAAAGAGTGTGCTTGTGGAAGAGACTAAAGGAATGGCGCCACGGTAGAGTTTTGGTAGGTCTTGTATAGCACTGCAGACACAACATATGCTGGCCTAAGCACTCGAATTTCTTTGTTTCTGCCTAGCCAGGGTAATAGTCCAGAAAACCAGAATCTTAAAATCGAATTCAGAAAAGAATTGACTCATGTATAAAACGATTACAGACTAACCCAATATTTATCTCTAGGTCTCAGAACATTAGAATCTGGAGCTGGCAAATAATCTGGTGTGTGGAGACTGCAGGCTTCAAGGCAGTGTTTACAGATAGACTTGACAAGGAACAAAACCAGATCTATTTTATTTATTTTATTTTTATTTTTTTGAGACGGTGTCTCACTCTGTTGCCCGGGCTGGAGTGCAGTGGCACAATCTTGGCTCACTGCAAACTCCACCTCACAGATTCAAGCAGTTCTCCTGCCTCAGCCTCTCGAGTAGCTGGGACTACAGGTGCATGCCACCACACCCCACTAATTTTTTATTTTTAGTAGACACAGGGTTTCACCGTGTTGGCCCGCCTGGTCTCAAGCTCCTGACCTCAGATGATCCACCCACCTTGGCCTCCCAAAGTGCTGGGATTACAGGCATGAGCCACCGTGCCCAGCCAACAGATCTATTTTGATTGAATTCTGTATTTAAAATTAAAGATCGTCTTCCAACCCAGAGATTGGACTTCAGGGCTCCAGAAATTTAGTTTAAAACTATGACTTAAATAATGCTATTAATTTACTTGATCTATAGGTTGTTATGTATCATTGTATCTTATATAATTATATATGTGTGTTTGTGTGTGGGTATATATATATATATATATATATATATATATGCACTCCATCTATTAGAAGATCCTCACCCAACAAACAACAGAATACACATTATTTTCAAGTACACATAGAGCATTGATAAAGATATATTGCATTGTGGGCCATAAAATAAATTATTAAAAATTGAAACTATACAAAATATTTTCTCTAAACAGAAAAGAATTAAACTAAAAATAACAGATGTCTGAAAAGCTGCTTGATACTTGAGATTTAAACAACCTACTTCCAGATAACCCACGAGTCCAAGCAGAAGCAGATGTCAATTGGTAAATATTTTGAACTAAATGAAAGTGAAAAGTTCAAAATTTGTGAGATGCAGCTAAAATGGTGCTTAGAGAGACATTAATTAGAAAAGTTCTCAAAATTAATGATAAACCACCTTAATAAACTTGAAAAAGAAGAGCAAAATACAAAACAGGCAGAAGGAAGGAAATAATAATAAAATCTAAAATAGAAATAAAAATAAAAACTCATTCTTTTAAAATATTAATCAATAAGGCTGTAGTCATACTGACAAAAAAGAGAAGACAAAAATTACTAATATCAGGGTCACTGAAGAGCCTATAGGTACTACAAGGATATTGCAAGAATATTGCAAATAATTACATGCCTATAAATTAGACAATGTAGATGAATTGGACAAATCTTTAAAAGGCACAAACTATCAAATTTTATTAAAGGAAAAGCTAAACCTAAGTAGTCCTATATATGTTAAGAAAATAAAAATTTACATTTAAAATCCTTCTCTACCAAAAAACAATAAAGACTCCAAATCCAATTGACTTTGCTGGTAAATTCTATAAAACCTTTTAAAAATAAATGATATCATCTCTACATAAAAAATAATATAAAGGAAAATAACTCTGCCTGATTCATTTTATGGAGGCAATATTACTCTGATACAAAAATCAGGAAAATAAATTACAAGTAAAGAAACTTAATATCCCTCATGGACATAGCTGCCAAAATCCTGAATGAAGTATTACCAAATCAAATCCAGCAGTATAACAAGAAAAGGTTTTAAGTAATGATCAGCTGGGATTTAATCTGGGAATGCAAATCTAGTTCATTATTGAAAATGTATCTAGCTGGGCATGGTGGCTCACACCTGTAATCCCAGCATTTTGGGAGGCTAAGGGTGGTTGGATCACAAGGTCAGGAGTTTGAGACCAGCCTGACCAATATGGTGAAACCCCTATCTCTACAAATATACAAAAATTAGCCCAGTATGGTAGCACTCCATAATCCCAGATACTTGGGAGGCTGAGGCAGAAAAATTGTTTGAACCTGGGAGGCAGAGGTTGCAGTGAGCTGAGATCGTGCCACTGCACTCCAGGCTGGATGACAGAGCAAGATTCTGTTTCAAAAAAAAAAAAGGAAAGAAAGAAAGAACATTTATCATTTATCTACGTAATTCACCATATCGGTAGACTAAAGATTATCTCTGCAAAAATAGTTTTTTAAAAATTTCAATATCTAATTGTAACAAAAACAGAACATCTATAAACTGATAAAGTACCTCAATTAAAAACCTACAGCTAACAGCATACTTCATGACTGAATTCTTTCTCATCAGGCCAGGAAACATGTCGGGGTGTATACTCTCACCACCTATATTAACCATTGTACTGGAAGTCTTAGCCAATGCCATAAGGCAAGAAAAAATAAAATGTGTAAAATTGGTGAGGAAGAAATAAAACTGTCTATCCTCAGATAACACAATTGTCTACATAGAAAACTGCAATAAATTTTTTTAAATTTAGAATAATTGAGTTTAACAAGGTTGTAGAATGCAAGGTCACCATATGAAAATCAATTGAATTTCTATAAGCAATGAATATATGAAAATCAAGATTTTAAATAGAACTCTTTTACATAAAATATGAAAATTTTAGCCATATATATATGCACACACACACACACACACACACACACACAGCAATATATGTGCTAGTTTCTGTATGCTGAAAACAAAAAAGTGAAGAAAAATAAAAGCAAACCTAAATAAGTGGAGATATAGCATGTTCATGGATTGAAAAACTAAAGTCTGACCAGGCACAGTGGCTCATACCTTTAATCCCAGCACTTTGGGAGGCAGATCACCTGAGGTGAGGAATTCAAGGATAGCCTGGCCAACATGGTGAAACCCCATCTCTACTAAAAATACAAAAATTAGCCAGGTGTGGTGGCTCATGCCTATGAGTCGCTCAGTCCCAGCTACTCAGGAGGCTCAGGCAAGAGAATCACTTGAACTCAGGAGGCAGAGGTTGCAGTAAGCCAAGATTGCATTATTACGCCCTAGCCTGGGTGATCTAATGAGACTCTGTCTCAAAAGAAAAAGAAAGAAAGAAAGAAAAACTCAGTCTTGTTAAGAGGTCAGTTCTTCTTACACTATCATTTCAATACAATTTCAATGAAAATCACAGCAAGACATTTTATAGAAAATTGATACGGAAAGGCAAAGTAATGACAAAACAGTTTTGAAAACGAACCAGGTTGAAGGAGGCTTATGCTATCTGATTTCAAAGCTTCTAATAACGCCACAGTAATCAAGAGTGTGTGATTTTAGACAAAATTAGAATAGAGGATTGGAATAGAGAATCTATAAACAAATCCACATATACATGATCACAAACATACAAAAGATAGTTCAATGGAGAAAGCAGCTTCTTTAACAAATGGTGCTGAAGTCACTAGACATCCATATGCAAAATAATATCATTTGTGGCCAGGAGTTTGAAATAAGCCTGGGCAAAATAATGAGACCAAAAAAAAACACCAAGTGTAGTGGTATGCACCTGTAGTCCCAACTACTCACGAGGCAGAGCTGGGAGGATGGCTTGAGCTCAGGAGATCAAGGACTCAAGCCTGTAATCCCAGCACTTTGGGAGGCCGAGGCAGGTGGATCATGAGGTCAACAGATCAAGACCATCCTGGTCGACATGGTGAAACCCCATCTCTACTAAAAATACAAAAAATTAGCTGGGCATGGTGGTACGTGCCTGTAATCCCAGCTACTCAGGAGGCTCAGGCAGGAGAATTGCCTGAACCCAGGAGGCGGAGGTTGCAGTGAGCCGAGATCGCGCCATTGCACTTCAGCCTGGGTAACAACAGCGAAACTCTGTCTCAAAAAAAAAAAAGAAGAAGAAGAAAATCACGCTGTGGCACTCCAGCTTGAGCAACAGAGCAAGACCATCTCAAAAAAATTGTAAACAAATATTTCTAGCAGCTTTATTCCTAACTACCATAACATAGAAACAACCTAAATGTCTTTCAATAGATAAAGGGATAAACAAAATATGGTACATCCATGCAAAGAAATATAACTCTGCTGTTAAAATGAAGGAACTACTGATACATGCAACAACATTGGCAAATTTCAAGAGCATTCATCCAAGTGAAAGGAGCCTATGTAAAAAAAAAAAATCCTTTTATATGATATTTTGGAAAAGGCAGAATGATAAGAACAGAAAATAGATCTGTGGTTTCCAGGTGCTACGGATGAGGGAGAGGTTGACTAAAATGGGGCAGCACATAAGAATCACTGAAGATAAGAGAGTTCTGTGTCTTGAGTGTTGTGGTTGTCACATAACTATGAATATTTGTATGCTAATATAAGTAGATTTCATGTAAACTAAATGAACTAAAAAGTACACTTAGTTCTGACCATGGATATGATGAATTCCTATCATGTCATTTCTGCATCCATTTTGAAAGTAGGTTTAACTTTCTCATTCCAGAAGCTGGCTTAGTCACCCTGGACACAGTTTCTAGCTTTCTGCTTACTCCTAGTTTCTGAATGTGCTTAATCCAGATACCTGCCTTATACAACTGGCTCCTGGTAACCACCTCTCCATGGGGCAGCTAGATACAACCCACTAGACAGGCCCAACTGACTCCACTGACCCCACATGCCACACGGATTGCACAAATATGCTGCACTGACCACCTCTGAGTCATAGCATGACCCCATGGGATGCATGCCTGCTTGCTCTAAACCCACCACCTAGAAGCCTCTGAAGGAAACCTGCTTGGGTAACACCCTGGACCCCAACAAAGGCCTCAGCCCATGGGTTCATCTTTCTCTCTGGCCCCCAACCTGTTGGTTGAGCATATTGTCCCTGTGACCTTTCCACTGGCTCTCATTGGTACCCCTCTTCTCTCATCTTTGGTGCTGTAAGAAAATGCTTCTGCTGTTTCATGGGTATTTGTTGTTGCCTCTTCTGTCCATTGTACTGGCACACTCGAGCCTAACTTTTCTCTTGTTTAGGGCTCTCCTAGGTTGGCTATCTTCACAGAAATGAACTGGATACAGGTCAAACAAGAGGCAGAAGAGCATCTGCCAACATAAACAAGTTTCCTGTAAGAGGGACACTTGGTCTCATGTCAGACACTTAGGCATTGGGCCATCCACCTGGATAAAAAAGTAGCATGTGAAAGACACACTGTAAACGTCCATGACCAAATTCTCCAGACAGCACAGGTGCACAGGCTCAGGCCTGTAATCTCAGCACTTTC